TTCCATTGAAATGACACTGGTAGATTGATGGGAAACAGCATTTATTATATGTTTATACCTACAGAAACAACAACAGACTCTTTTGAGCAAACATTAATTCATAACAAAGGGAGAAGACAATATTGTGGTTCTTTTTCAACCTTCATGGCTACCAATTTTATGCTCTAATTTTAGTAAGTAAGTTAAACTTTTTATGGGCATTCTTCTTTTTTTAGTTTTAATTTTAAATTTTAAATTAAACATAAATGCAGAAATACATGTACATGTGAAGCTAGTAATGTTTATCTGCTTTTAAAGCCATATCACTTTACATAAATATATTGACTTATTACGGCCAGTCTTTTTTAAGAGTTGATAGTAATTCTTCTTTGCCATTGATTGGAGGACTTGCAATTGGTTTGGATCAATCGCAACTCTTTATAAAAACAGGGCTTGGCTCTGTGTTAAAGTATTTGAGTTAACATTCTGGCTACAAACTTAAATGAAGAGTGTGATATTCATTTGTCTCCCTTTAAAGCCATGTCCCTTTACATAGAGTCCATCTGATTCTTAACATAAATATTAATACCTTCTAGCTTTAAATACAGACACCTTCTGGGCTCTGGCTCTCAGCAGACGATTTTCATTTGCCATTAGAACGCCATACCTGTAGCTTTATCATATGCCACTTCCGTGTTTAACATGTAGCCAAGGGCTATAAATCATGCTTTAATATTAATACATGTTCACTGTACATGTAGTAAAAAATCTCTGATGTCAGAAAGTGATTCGTATAAAAGTTAATGTTAACATTAAGGTAGTGGTTAGGCCCCCCCTACTCTATATTTATTCTAATGACATTGGACTCCTTCATGAAATGTTGTTGTATCTCACTATCTTGGTCATGATACTATTATAATTGTTATTATTCTGCATTATGTTCAGTACTGTGGATGACCATGTGAAAATTGAATGTAAATTAGAAAGATGATGAAAATTATTAAATTTATGTACCGAAAAGTACTGGAATGTGTGCATCTCGTTGTGTTGTTATCACGACTCTCCATTCTTCATTTTCACCATCGTTCTCTGTCTGTTTACATGTATCTCTCATCTTTTAAAAAAGCTTTATCCTTTCTCTTTATTTGTCTTTCCCTTCTCTATTTATTCACTTTTTAAACATCAAAACAATTCAATAATCGTTTTATTAAAGCCATACTGCACTGCTTATAGCTACTTGCACCCTCTATACAGTGTGTCCCGAAAAAAACTATACACTTTTGAAATGGCTGCCAAATAACAAATATATGATTCTAGGGGAAAAAGTTATATATGTATGGAAAGCTCATATACTCAACTTTCATATGACACCAAAAGTTGCGAAAATAATTCATGCTCGGGTGAGTACTGCTCACTTTTGTAAAGGGTATGCAAATTTGGTTGCGCAGGAATTAGCCTTCCAATTTGTGAGAGGTAAATCCTTTGGAGCTTACCGAATTGAGGATGATATGACCAATTTATGATCAATTGTGATAAGTTTGGGTTTGCTGAGTGAAATGTTTGGTTTATGGGATTAACATTTTATGCATGAGTTAACAGGAATTGCATTTTTTATTGTAGCACTGTAACTTCCCTGGTAGACTCAGTGGTGTGTTCATGGGAGTCAGGATGGGGTGATGATACATGTTGTAATTTCCATGTTACAAACTGTTATTCTCTTACATCTGTGACTTTGAATAAAAACCTTCACCCCACATTTCAATTATTGTAAGATTAGTTGAACATCTCATTGATTTACTCAATACCCAGGTAGGGATAATGTAAATTGAATATTCAAATACGGTTTGTTGCAAAAGGAATGTCCAAGATGTCGGCTACTTATTCTTCAGGTAAATGGTAACTGAAATGTGGGGTGAAGGTTTTTATTCAAAGTCACAAATGTAAAAAATAACAGTTTGTAACATGGAAATTACAACATGTACCATCACCCCATCCGGACTCTCATGAACACACCACTGAGTCTACCAGGGAAAGTTACAATGCTACAATAGAAAAATAAATTCCTGTTCCGGGCATAAAAGTTTGGTTTAATAAACCATGAAATTCACTCAGCAAATCATGAATGTATCATATCACCCTCAATTCGGTAAGCTCCAAAGGATTTACCTCTCACAAATTGGAAGGCTAATTCCTGCGCAACCTAATTTCCATACCCTTTACAAAAGTGACCAGTACTCACCCAAGCATGAATTATTTTCAAACTTTTTGGTGTCATATGAAAGTTGAGTTTATGAGCTTTCCATACATATAAAACTTGTCCCCCTAGAATCATATATTTTTTATTCGGCAGCCATTTCAAAAGTGTATAGTTTTTTTCGGGACACACTGTATAGCAAACATGCATAATCGGTCACCATTGGTCCTCCATGGTCCCCTTTTTCTTATCTTAATTGAGAGCTGATTTGATGAGATAACCACCTGTCAGTGACAATTATGCAGGGAGGTCTAATCCCTCTTGGCCAAACTAGTGCAGAGGGGCTTTAAAAAACAATGCCTCGCAGCCAGAATGCTGAATTGTGCATGTTAACAAATACATGAGCTCCATAATCCATTGCATGAAATCATATTTTATTTGTTACAATCATTCAACGGCATTAATTGGTAATACTTAACTTACTCATTTAAAATCAATCACTATATATCATTTACATTCTAAAACTATATTAAAATTCACAATAGTAATAACAATAATTGATTAAAAACAATACCGGTAAGTCAAAAAGCTAATACTGAAATTATTGCACCTGTGTCCTTAACAATTAATATTCATTGAAAATTGAAAATCAGCAAAATATTGCTCTATGTTGCCAGTTCATCAACAGTAAGTACATAAATATATATCGATGGTTTTGTACAAACATAAACATTTTCCAGAGTGGGTTGTAAAACCTATAGTTTCTTACGTTAAAAATAAACTATAGTTGGATGCATGTTAAAACATGAAATAATGATAAAAATATTAGTCAAATATTGGAAATATATATATATATATATATTATATAAAAATGCATTCCAATTATTCATTATTTAAAACAACTATAAGGTATGATAACATCTATAATGGTAATGGACTCTTTCTAAATCTGCTAGTATTGCACTTGTACTGGGTGTACTTTGTTGTTTTCCTCGAGCAGTAGCGACTTTTCTGTCTATTAACTAGCCGATTCGATAAAAAAGGACTTTCTTCCACACTATGAGCAAATGTAAGACATTATTATGTGTTTTCCTCTTTTTTTTCAAGAGTCACTAGACCTAAGTTACATTTTTTCCAATGCCACATTGTATGATGTACTACCCAGAATTATTCTACATGCCCTCTTTTGAAAATTTAAAATACGGGAATCTTGGCATGCATCATTCATTAGTATAAAAATAATAATGGTCCAAGCTTTGTTCCTTGTGGAACCCCTGTATTTATGACATTCTATTTTTATTTTTTCCCATTATATTTGACACACTGCAATAGATTACCCAAAAACTCATTATCCAGTTAATAAGGCATGGTCCAACATCAAGCTTTAGGAGTTTGGGACTAAAACAATGTGTTTTAAATTATGCTTTCAAATAATCTGCAGTCAATATTGTTGATGTAAATTTCACCTTTTCTGCTTTCTCCAATATCTGGTGTACTATCAAATCAATGAGGTAATGTGTCGTCGATACGCTTTTACGATTCCAAACTGATTAGGATCAAGAGTTTTGGTAATATCTTCTAACAGCCAATTGACAATATTAGCTTGTCAGGGCTATTGGTCTAAGGTCCAAAAGGGTCGGTGGGTGGACCTTAGGAACAGGAACTATTTCTGCTCGTTCCATTGTAATGGAACTTCAGATTGTTGGAATGATACATTAAGAATATCTGTAAGTGGGACTGACAATTCATAGGCAGATTCGCAAATGATATAGTGGATACCTTGTCAAAAGATGAAACAGATATGAAAATATTAAAATCACAATAACAGTATAGCCACGTGTTCAGAAAAAAATAAGCAATGACATTACAAATTTGTAAATTATACAAGAATAACAAAATTTTAAATTTTAAAATAATTCACCCCACTGAGAGACAGAAAAGTGGAGAGGAGAAAAGAGGGAGAGAGAGAGAGACAGAAAAGTGGAGAGGAGAAAAGAGGGAGAAAGAGAGAGAGAGAGCAGTAAAGAGAATGGGAAAAGAAGAGAAAAGAAAGGATCAACACAATGAGATGGAGAGATGGAAAGAAAGAATTAGGGAGAGAAAGATAAAGGAAACAGAACAGAGGCAAGAGAGAGAGATAAAGAGAAATGGGGTCAAAAGATTGAAAGAGACATCTAGGGAAATATCAGAACTAGGAATAAGGATACCTCTCTCATAGTCAAACTCTGCCCCCCCCCCCCCCCCCCACAATCAACCTCTTTATCCTCCAACTTTCCCTGTCCAAATGGACCTTTGTTTCAACCTAGAAAGGCACCTTCAAGAAAATCAAGCAGTAAAAATGCGCAAACGGAAATAGCTCTGGTGTTAGATTGACCAGGCCGGTGGTGTTCACAAAGACTAAGATCAATCGACTTTAAGTTGGATTTACCTATGGCAGGCCGTTCATGCCACTGTTTGCTCTCACCATTTACTGGCAATGATCTCTCAAATTAAATCATGCTTGGTCCAAATCTACAGAATTTAGATTTTTGATAATTCATTATTGAAGAAAAAAATATTATTTAAAGATCATAATTGAGAGACCAATGGTGAAAGCAACTAGTGGCATATGGCCTGCCGAAGTTAAGTCTATTAAACTTAAAGTGGATCTTAGTCTGTGTGAAACACTGCCCAGGTATTAGACTGCACCAGATATGGCATAGCGATCCTAGCCCGGTACCTCCAGAGAAGGCTGATAATGTCCTCAAAGGTGACCTTCTCTTTCAGTGTGATACGTACCTTACAGAGTGCAAGTGGTCATCTTGAGTGCCTTAGACCCATAGCTGCCTCAGGCGATCAACACTTGGTCTTTGGAATCTACAGCAGCATAATGAAACTCATTTTCACCGGTTGTCTTTATAAAGGAACCCAGGGCGCTGTTCTTGCCAATGCCAAAGACAGTCACGGTGCTTGGTGTGATGTCACAGGTGGAAACGATGATCACACCACTGCTTGTGACGGCCACCTGTCTAGGCCGGGTGCTGGATATCACCAGCAGTGTGGATACGTTCAGAGTTCACTGTATGCCCCACCTGAAGGATGGCGATGTCTGGTTCTTTTTTCCACGTACTGGTAGTCATCTTCTGGGAACCCAAATTCATCACCATCGCATTCTAAATTGTCCACGCAGTCAGCTTCCGTGAACCCACATTCATCATCATCGCACTCTGGGACTTCCACGATGTCAACTTGGTTGAACCCAAACTCATCATCATCGCATTCTGAACTTTCCACGGAGTCAGCTTCCGTGAACCCCCCATATTCATCACCATTGTAATCTGGATGGAGCTCCACGACGTCCTTGAACCCAAACTCATCATCATCCTCATCGCATTCTAAATCTTTAACGTCTTCATTAGCTTCCGTGATTAACCGACATTCATCATCACATTCATTAATTCTGTTCACATGAGACCACGACTGCCAGGCGCCATTTTCAACCTTCACCGGGCTAGGACTGTCCTCCGATTGCGCTGCCAACGCCAAACGCGACAGCTGAACATCCCTTACAACTTTCATCTTCTTCTTGCGAGTCTTGACCATACCAAGATTCAGCAGCCCGTCTCCGAATGGGTGGAATGTTGCATTCATCACGGCCTCCTTGGAGCGCCTTGTGACATCTGCATCAGTTTTGGCAAGGACTTCGTTAAGGAGTTCATCCAAGTCGTTGCACACCATGGTGTGACTAGCCAGGCTGTCCGCTTCCAAGCTTCCCAGATCCTTGACTCTGATCACCGCCAAGGCACGGTTGATATCCTGAACAACCTGCTTATACGGCATTGTGTCGACATCAATGCTGCTGTCATACCTTCTCTGCAACGTAGAGATTTCCTCCAGTAAGGAGGTTGTATTTTCCTTCAAAAGCCTCCGCTTCCTAGCATACTCATTCTTGATACAACGCTCAAGATTGACCACTGCAGAGGCCACTTGTGCTTTCGGTGCCTCGGCAGATGCGATCACTCTCTCCATGTCTGCTTTCTTAGCCTGGCCACGTTCCATGAGACAGTCTACCTTTTCCTTAATCTCCCTCTCAAAATCTTCTTTAGTTTTCATCTGGTGGTTCAGATGCCCGGTGACCACGCATCTTATACAGATGTGCACTTTGCATTCCTGGCAGAAGAATTCCTTCTCATGCTCTTTGTGGAAGGGGCACGCTTTCGCTGAATTGAGAGACTTCTGGTAGTCATCCGCAAGACTGTTGATGATGACATTTCTGGGGAGTCCCTCGACACCCTTCACGGTTAACGTTGTCTTTGCTCGACACACCGGACACGACAAGCGAACTCCGGAGATATAGATCTCCTCTAGACATTCTCGACAGAAGGTATGACCGCAATTCAATATAGTAGCGTCTTCGATGATGTCAATGCATACTGGACACACCAGATGATCTTTTTTGCTGCTTGCCATGGCTTATGCTTGTCCGTTGTCTGAATGAAAAAACAACAATATTGGAGAATGGAGTGATTATACCGGTCTGCATTACACCTAACATTTTTTAAGCATGAAAATATCATTTACATCGCAAAATGTCTGTAAAAATCAACCTGTACCTGTTAAAATGTTAAAATGTCAAATCGTCATTCGTTGAAAAACAACATTTTGCAATTAAATTAGAAGATATTGCAGAAGTAGAATAGTTAAAGATGACCTGTGGACAAAGAATGATAATCATACTATGAAAAGGGTTATTCAGATTAAATTTTCTTTTCATTTCTGAAGAATACGTCCTACTTAATAATGGATTAGCACTATACCTGTTCGTCTCCGCGCTTCAAACATGCACCGGCCGTGTCAACTAATTGCCTCGATTAAAAACATATATATAAAATATGCCAACTTTCTAAATGCTCAATACACTCTCGGGTGATCAGATAAATCGATAAGACACTGCTTTGCTTATCCAACAAACGCAACAATACTATTTGGACATATGTGATCCGATGAAGTACGTATGTGCTATATAGCTGCTATATAGCATGAACGAAAGTGTTCTTGGGATTCCCCAGTATATGACGTCATTTTTCCATACTAGTAGTCTAGGAATAAAGACAGTTTAGCCGATATAACGGGGGGGGGGGGGGGGGGGCGCCATGCATCATGGTTTACTCAGCTTGGGTTTGGGGGGGGGGGGGGGGAGCCCGACGGGCCCGGACCCCCCTGTTTTGTTTTGAATAATTAAAAAAAAAAATGGTGATATACAATTTTATTTTGTAAGTGATCACACAACCCGCCCCCCCCCCCCCCCCCGCCCCCTCCCCACCCTACTGAGCAAAAATCACGGTCTGTACCGATTTTAAAATTTCTGGGGGCAAAAAAAAAAAAAAAAAATTGTGCTCACTACCCTCTGGTGCATACTGCTGAAGCGTACTCTAAACCAATACCCATTTTTAAGGGTGATTTTGGCAAAAATTAGTGTAACCCATTATAAGGGACTTTGGATGAAAAAGCGAAATGATTTTTAAAAAATTTTGCCGGATTTTGCATATGGAATTTTCACTTATGCAAGATTTTGGGCGAGATATTACCCTGAAGAAAATAGTTAGTAACCCATGTTTAAGGCCAAGATCTGAAAGGTATGGGCACTTTTAGGGGTTCAAATCATTTGATTGTGTATATGAACCACTGGTACATTTGAGTGTAGGATGACAACTGCGGAGAGATTTTCGCTGGAGCATGCATGTGTCGTAAAAGCTCACCTCTTCTGCCTTCTGTTTGCTCTCTCTCTCTCCCTTGCTCTTCTTCCATACCCCTCTCTCTCTCCCCACTCTCTCGAATTCCCTCCCTCCCTTTCTCTCACCCCACTCTCCATCTCTCTCATTTTCTCCCTTCCTCTCGCTCTCTTTAGCTCTCTCTCTCTCTAATTCCCTCCCTCCTTTTCTCTCTCCCAGCTCTCTCTCTCTCTCTCTCTCTCTTTCTCATTCCCTCTTTCCAATTCTGTCTCCCGCCTCTCTCTCTCTCTCTCTCTCTCTCTCTCTCTCTCTCTCTCTCTCACACATACACACACACACACACACACTCTCTCTCTCTCTCTAACTCATCACTATGATAAATCCCAAGTATGACAAAGGCATTTAAATCTATATACTGCGCAAAGATGTATATTTTATAATACTTCTTGTGTGCAGTGGCGTAGACAGGTTCGTACACCTGGGGGGATGACTGGGCTGCCAACGCTAGTGAGGGCGCGAAGCGCCCGAGCGAGGGAGCGAAGCGACCGAGCGGGGGGAGGGTGTGGGAGGGGGTATCCCCCCTCCCACGGTAGGGAGCTTTTGCAATTTTGAACTTGAAATCGTGCAATCTGATGCATACTTAATGAGGTAAAATAACACACACAAGCGTGCACGCACACACACACATACACACGCACACGCACTCACACGCACACACACACACACACACACTCTCTCTCTCTCTCTCTCTCTCTCTCTAACTCATCACTATGATAAATCCCAAGTATGACAAAGGCATTTTAATCTATATACTGCGCAAAGATGTATATTTTATAATACTTCCTCCGTGGGAGGGGGTGTCCCCCCCCTCCCACGGTAGGGAGCTTTTGCAATTTTGAACTTGAAATCGTGCAATATGATGCATACTTAATGAGGTAAAATACACACACAAGCGTGCACCCACACACACACTTACTCACACGCACACGCACACACATACATACTACGCCTTGAATGGACAGACATACATCGACAAGATCTACACACCGTGGCATACGAATACAGAATGGACTGACACATAGTATTGCATATTGAACCACACTACGTATTTATTTATTTCTGTGAATTTTGCTGTTACACCTCTTCAGAAAAAACCCCAATGTCAACTGTGTACACGCAGGTATAGTCTTTGTTGTCTTGATAGGAGTATGTGGTTATGAATGAAAACAGCCTCTGTGGCCATTTGTGAATAGAACACATAAACAACAAACAAATAACGATTAAACTTTGAACAATATATGTCTGTTCATTATAAAGCATAATGAATACGTACATACTATGCTTTTTTACCTCAAAGAAACAGGCATAGTATCCATAGATGGATATTGGCTGGCGGCTCATTAACATACAGATACAAAAAACATAAACAGTATCACTATGACCCATGGAGTAACAATACTGCTTTGTAAGTTTGTGAAGAAATCGGAACCATAACGGCATTGCATCGTTTCAAATTAGGGCATTATTTACTTCTATTTGATCTCAGGCTTAAAATAATACTAATACAAATAATAATGCTAATACTAATAGGTTCCTTTTATCTCGCATTTCAAGACAGGGTAAATTAACACTGCGCTTTACATGAAACCCCGGCCCCCCACTCAGTGTTATTTAGGGTACGCATATGCTCGTACCCTTTTTTTGAAAGCACCCCCTATCTGAGGACTGCCAACATTTCCGAACCCCCCTTTCGCGGGCTTTTTGCGTGCTTTTCCTGCCTTGGAGACCCCCCTAAATCAGGAAAAATGCTCAATGTACCCCCCTTAATTCGAATAATTTATCAGGAGTCCAAAGAGATGAGAGAAAAAAAGAAAAACACCCCCTTTTTAAAGAAATCTCCGGGTGAAAAGTCAAATACACCCTTTTTTTTACAATTCTCGGGCCGGACTTTGTTGCACGAAAAGTACCCCTTTACCGGACATTTTGGCAACACGCATGCGGTCATTCCGACCTCTGAGTGGGGGGGGGGGGGGGGGGGGGGGGGGGGGGGGCGGGCATGAAACAAACTTCTTTAAACATTTCAAACTTATGTCTTCATGCATCAATCAACATACTTTAAATGAATACAAAACAAAGTGCATCTTAAATAAAACAAAATAAATAAATAGTTAACAATACAGAAAAGATGGAGCTGCTGCAAGCTTAAAAACAAACTAATGTATACCAGTCAGTCCTGATATCAGTATTAGTGTAACAATAGTCATATAGTGGGAGCATGAAGTTGAAAAATTCATGATTATACATAATTATATATGTTTGTTTGAATAATACTTGTTATAAAGATAGTAGTATGGTAATCTCTGTCACGAATTATTATGTATACTGTTGTATCACATTCATTTTCTATTCTGTTTCAGAATTGGCTTTCACCGTGTGAATGCGGCTAACAATAAACACAATTACAAAAATGATGAGGATTATTATTATCATCATCATAATTATTATTATTATTAATATAATAATTGTTATCATTATTATTATTACTATTATTATCATCATTATGACTTATTAAGTAAGCAAATATCATTCCCCAAAACATGGGGGGGGGGGGATGATTGTACATGCCATCCCCCCACCTTGTGAGGTGGGGGATGCATCCCCCTCATCCCCCCCCCCCCCCCCCCCCCCCCCCGTTGTCTACGCCCCTGCTTGTGTGATAAATAATATGAGAATGCAATGAATACAAAATATAACTGCTGTGAAACTATGAGAAATGCAAAATAATAACAAAATTAAGACTTGTTCACATATACATGTACCACTGTAAACATCAAATGTTTTGATGAAGTACATGTACTATAGCATGAACGAAAGTGTTCTTGGGATTCCCCAGTATATGACGTCATTTTTCCATACTAGTAGTCTAGGAATAAAGACAGTTTAGCCGCTATAACGGAGAAGGGGGGGGGGCGCCATGCATCATGGTTTACTCAGCCTGGGTTTGGTAGGGGGTGAACATGCCAGGCGCGGATCCACGGGGGGGGGGGGCAACGGGCCCGGCCCCCCTGTTTTTTTAATAATTAAAAAAACAAAAACTGTTGATATACAATTTTATTTTGTAAGTGATCACACAGCCCGCCGGATTTTGCATCTGGAATTTTCACTTATGCAAGATTTTGGGCAAGATATTACCCTGAAGAAAATAGTTAGTAACCCATGTTTAAGGCCAAGATCTGAAAGGTATGGGCACTTTTAGGGGTTCAAATCATTTGATTGTGTATATGAACCACTGGTACATTTGAGTGTAGGATGTTAACTGCTGAGAGATTTTCGCTGGAGCACGTGTCGTAAAAGCTCACCTCTTCTGCCTTCTGTTTGCTCTCTCTCTCTCCCTTGCTCTTCTTCCATACCCCTCTCTCTCTCCCCACTCTCTCGAATTCCCTCCCTCCCTTTCTCTCACCCCACTCTCCATCTCTCTCATTTTCTCCCTTCCTCTCGCTCTCTTTAGCTCTGAGAAATGCAACATAATAACAAAATTAAGGCTTGTTCACATAAACCACTGTAAACATAATTTGTTTGGTGTGTGTGTGTGTGTGTGTGTGTGTGTGTGTGAACTACATGTTAATGTGTGGCATGCAGGAATGATAAAGGTAGCTTCATGCAAGAAAAGTCCTATGTGAACTCACTCATCTGTGTGTTAAGATGTACAAAATAATGTGAAGCGCAGTACGCATAAGAACGCTTTGAAAAAATCCCAAGGTCAACCATTGCATTCATGAACAAGCCTTTATAAAGCATAACATTGAAACTATACTTCCTACAACTTTTATACTTGTACATAGTTCATAAGTAAAATGAAAATATAATCTCTTTGTGTTACTGAGCTATTAAACAAAAGTAATAAAAGCAAGGATATTTTTCAACTTCACAATATATCCTTACATGCATTTTTCCATCACCAACCCTCAAGCAAAATGATTCAAAAACTGAATTCTGGCACCAAAATGAAACTTAAGCTGATATAAATTGAAGTTTGAAGTACACATCATATGTAAGGTATAAAATCAAGGTTTAAGGAATAACTTAATGTTTGATTAACCCTAGTTGGTCCTATGCGCCACTAATCTTATGCGCCAATGGTCCTTTGACCCAAGGTACTATGCAATATTGGTCCCAATACACCAATCAACCAATGTACCATTGGTCTGTACCACTGGTATTATGCTTCGATCTTTCTATTACCGGTTATATCACTGGTCCAATGCATCAATGGTCCATTGCACCAATGGTCTTATGCACCAATATTCTGATGCACTGATGGTCCATTGCACCAATGGTCTTACATGTATTGCACCAATGGTACAATGTACCAAAGGTCAGGTGCGCAATTGGACCTATGCATTAATGGTCCTATGCACCAAATAGTCTGATGCATTAATAGTCTTATGCACCAAAAGTCTGATGCATCAATGGTCTTATATTATACACCAATGGTCTTACATGTATTTCACCAATGGTACAATGTACCAAAGGTCAGATGCGCCATTGGCCCTATGCATTAATGGTCTTATGCACCAACAGTCCGATGCATTAATGGTCCTATGCACCATTGCATTGGTCCTACTCTAAACATATTCACTTTTTGCATTGATAATGAGTTAAAGAGCTAGGGGTTGTTGCTAACCCTAAACGTAATAACCCTGAACCTCATGGTTAAAAAACACTTTTCATACAAGGACCAATATGTACCAATACGATGTCAAAAATGTTTAGCTTTGTTCTAAATTAACTTCATTATATTCAAAAGAAATAAAGAGAAGCTTTTGGAGTATGATGAAAAAGTAGAAAACAAATTTTGTCTGTTGCAAAGTACTCCGTGTTCATTTCTTGTACTGTGACGAGAACAAGGTAAAATTTTTATTCAGTCAAAATGACCCTAAATGGGTTCAGAGCAAAAAGGAATCACGGTTCTATAATTCGAATTTATCTACGATATACACGACAGATATACAGCATAAACATGTTTATATGAACACAAAACAAGTACTGAGTGACATACACTTGCTATTTGCTAAAGTACAAATACAACAGATACTATAAAGAAAATAAATGAATACCGATTCGTACATTTTTTTGGAAACATCTTTGACATTCAGCTAAGATGAGCTAACACAAGGAACACTTCATGCTACTTTTTCATTTTGACTTTTTCATGTACATGTACCCCTTCCCTCCCCCATCAATAACGATCTTAACCTAAAAAGCAAATTTTCTAACAAAGAAATATAATCTAAATCATGTAGTGTCACGTTGTAATGTTTTGAAGAAAAATAAAGAGGAAAAATGTCCCCAAAGTCAACAGATATCATTTTGTTACACTGATGCATCGGTACTTGGAATGCGTCAGTATGTCTTTCAAGTTGTAGACCGTGACAGTGTGAGCTCCGTGGGACACAGCTGATTGTCAGTAGGATAGTTTGGCGATGTCCCACATTACCTCAATGTCAGCTTCCTTGTACCCAAATCTATCATCATCACACTCTGAAACTTCCTTGTATTCATTTCCGTGAACTGAAATACATCATCATCGCATTCTCAATTTTCCATGCAGTCACCTTCCTTGAACCAAAGTTCAACATTCACTGTGTCCTCTGTGTTTGCGCTGCCAACCCCTCCGCCAAACACGGCAGCTGAACATCCCTCAAGACTTTCATCTAATTCTTCTTGGTCTTGACCATACCAAGTTTCAGCAGCGCGTCTCCTAGCGGGTGGAATTCTGCATTCATCACGGCCTCCTTGACGCACCCCGTTACCTCAGCATCAATTTTGGCAAGGGCTTTGTTGAGGAGTTCATCCAAATCGTTGCACACCATGGTGTGACTAGCCAGGCTGTCTGCTTCCAGGCTTCCTGGATCATCGGCTGTGATCACCGTCAAGGCTCGATTGATATCCTCAACAACCTGCTTATACGGCATTGTGTCGTCATCAATGATGCTGTTATAGCTTCTCTGCAACATATGAATTTCCTCCAGTAAGAAGGTTTCATTTTCCTTCAAAAGCCTTGATTTCCTGGCAAATGCATTCTTGATACGATGCTCCAGATTGACCACTGCAGAGGCCACTTGTGCTTTTGGTGCCTCTGCAGATGCGATCACTTTTTCCATGTCTTCTTTCTTAGCCTGGCCACGTTGCATGAGACAGTCTATCTTTTCCTGGATCTCCCTTTCGAAATCCTCTTTAGTTTCCATTGGATGGTTCAGATGCCTGGTGACCACGCATCTCACACAGATGTGCACTTTGCATTCCAGGCAGAAGAATTCCTTCTCATGCTCTTTGTGGAAGGGGCACGCTTTCGCCGAATTGAGAGACATCTGGTAGTCAGCCACAAGACTGTTGATGATGACATTTCGGGGGAGTCCCTCGATACCCGACCGGCCTTTAGTACACGTCGTCTCTGCTCGGCACACCGGACACGACAAGCATCGTCTGGCAACATTGTAGTTGATCTTTGCTAGACACCCTTGACAGAAGGTATGACCGCAATTCAATATCGTAGCGTTTTTGATGATGTCAATACATATTGGACACATCAGGTGATCTTTTTTGCAGCTTGCCATGGCGTATGCTTGTCTGTAACGCCTGAATGAAAAAGCAAGAATATTCGAGAATAGAATGATTACCGGTCTGCTTTATAAACTTACATTTTTAAAAAGCATGAACACGTACCGGTACATGAAAATCGCAAAATGTCCCAAAAATTAACCTGTACCTGTAAAAATCATCATCATAAAAATGTCAAATCATCATCAGTTGCCAAACAACCAACATCGCTTTTCCTTTCAAATAAGTGCCCTTTTCCCTTTTAAAATAAGTGCACCTTTTCCTTTGTAAAAAGTGCCTCCTCCTCCCCACACATTATCAAGTATTACAAAAATGTCCCTACCGGTATTCAAATCTGAGAAGAAACTCGTTATTTAATTACCTTGATACTTGCCCCTTTTCCTTTGTAAGTGCCCATTCCCCCCCCCCCCCCCCCCTCCCAATTTTTTTCAAGCACTCAGGAAATGTCCCTGTTTACATAGGGTAGCTAAGTGCCCTCTTTTACTTAACAAAAGTGACCCTTTTTCTTTCAAAAAGGTACCCATTCCACATGCTTGTAATTTACTGCCCCTTACCACCTCTGATAAGTGCCCCCTGTACCTCTGATAATTGCCCCTATTCAGATATGAGAGGGAACCCTTTTACCTTGATACTTGCCCCTATTCCTTTGTAAAAATTACTCCTCCCCATTTTTTAAATGCCCCATTTATTTTGACACGTGCCCCTTTTCCCTTTCAAATAATTCAACCTTTTCCCCTCTTTGTGAAAAGTGATTTTCCGCACTGCGACCTCACAAATCTTTAATATTCAGATCATCACACCAATCTGCAAATAATGATGCTTATAAGTAGCATCTTGGACCCTGTAAGTGCCGGAGTCGTGCATAAGTGCCCCGAGTTGTTCTTAAAGGTTAAGATCAGTTTTGGAAACGCCACCCTCTAAAAAAAAAAATGAACGAAAGCTCTCATTACCAATCATGTGAAAGAATATGTTTTGACTAATACGTACATGGTGATACAAATTTAGCCGGGAACCCGCCTACTAATTGATATATTTGGTAAATTATTATATCTATTTGGACCTGATAGCTTTCGCGCACGTGTCACGTAGTCCCATATACATCTTTCTGTGTACAGTGCTTGTAACTTTACCAAGACTGGGACAAATTTCTTATCATTTTGATGATTCCAGAACCTTGCAGTACACACCAATACTTATATACTAGATGACCAACCTTTTCTGATCGATTCCGCAACGTTTCTTTCACAATGCAATCGCATGACCAGAATTGGTCTTTAACTTTAAAGTCCTTTGTAGAGTTGTTTATAAACAACTACCGGTAGGCAGTTTTATAAAGATTTGAGTTGTTCGTAAGTGCAACAAGTCGTGCGTAACTTTACAACAGGTTTTGGGGTGTCCTTAAAATCATAGGTTGTTCTTAAAGTCCTGCGTAAGTGCTCATAGTCATAGCAACAAAATGGTTTCAAGAGAAAGGAGAGTCTTCCTGCCAAGAGAGAACCTGCTGCAAGATTTAAACAATGCTAAGATTCGGAAGGCATATCGCTTCACCAGGAGAGGAGTACAATACCTTGAGAACCTCCTCAGAGATGACCTCCAATATGCAACCCAAAGAAACTATCTGGGGTCATTGCTCCCATCCTCGGCAGCATCTACAGACTTGTGTACGAGACCGGAGAGATACCAGATGACTTGCACAAAGCAAACGTGGTGCCTGTCTACAAGAAAGGCCTCGGAACCAATCCAAGCAACTATCGCCGATCCCCTCACATGCACTACTGGGATTCGTCAGAGACCTCCACAAGAACATGGAGCTAGGACTGCAAACTGATGTCCTTGTCATGGACTTCAACAATTAAGCCTTCGACAAGGTCGGTCACCAGAGACTACTAAGCTGGACTACTATGGAGAGGCAAAAGCAACAGGTGGATCACCAACTTTTTTCACCATCAAACCCAGCAATTAGTTGTTCTAGTATTTAGGCCATGCATCACCTGGGTTTGATGAAGACTCAGGAGTACCTCAAGGCTCTGGATGTCCTGGGTCCCTCTCTATTCCTTTACTACTTCAAAGACCTGCCAGACAAGCTCCCCTCTCCGGTACTTCTCTTCGCCGACGATCTACCTAGGAATCAAGGGCAGACAAGAAACTCTCGAACTACAGGAGGACCTCAATAGACTTGCTGAATGGTCCTATGAATGGATGATGGAGCTCAATACGGACAAGTGCAAGGCCATCACAGTGTCCAGGAAGAGCGACACCAGTACATCCTGAACAACACACCACTGGAAGAAGTGCATCAGTCAAGTACCTTGGCATCACAATCACATCTGACTTGAAATGGGACGAACACATCACAAGTATATGCCAGAAAGCAAACAACACTTTCGCCTTCCTCCGACGAAATCTCCGATTCAACTCACCAGACTTGAAGAGTACTGCCTATATACAAAGCTAGTCAGACAACTCGTTGAGTGCAGTGCCACAATGTGGGATCCCTCCTCGAAAAACCACATCCACCAGATAAAAATGGTACAAAGACGGGCCGCTAGATTCACCCTAAATGGTGATGCTGTACAAGCCTCACAACAACCTGGTAGCACTCGACACAGCACCCTACATTAATCCTGTCACAAGACCCACCAGGAGTGTCCAAGAACATATACCAAGTCCCCCGTTCAAGAACTGAGCAACATAAGTAGTCCTTCTTTCCCAGGACTGTGAGGACTTGGAATAACCTGTCCTCAGGAACAATGTGTGCCACATCCGCTAATGTCTTCCGTCAATGCCTGATGGGAGGCTGCCATTAAGTCCGGGAACTTTTTACTTGCACCATGTTTAGGGGCACCAATTTCTTTTCATGACCCCGGGGGGGGGGGGGGGGGGGACGAATTGCAAGGGACGAGGGAGCAGTGGCGTAATAGGCAAAAACGTTTGGGGGGGTCAGATGTTACATGCAGGCCCCGCAGAGCGTTTTTCAAAGTGGGGGGGGGGGGGCTAAAGTATTCACAATCAGGTAGAGCAAAGCGAGCGAAGCAAAGGGAGCGTAAATTGGCCTGTGGTCCAGGGGCAAAGTCCCGGCGGGGGTCAAGGGGTGGAGCCCCATGAAGCTCAGGGGTTTTAGGAAATTTGGGTGCAGGGGGCGCAGCCTCTGGAAGCTCAGGTGTTTTAAGCATTTAATTACGGTCAGATAAGCATATTTTGATACCTTTTTTGTGACGCTGGCATGCAGGCCATTAATTGGTGTGGGGTCCAGAGGGCAAAGCTCTCTTAAGCTCAGGGGTCTTAGGCATTAAATTACATTCAGATGAGCATCCAGGGGCCGCCTAACCAAGGGCCTAGCCCCGGGAAGCTCAGGGGTTTTAGGCATATTTTAGGTTTTAGGCATATTCAGATATGAACCTTTTACCTTGATACTTCCCCCTATTCCTTTGTAAAAATTACTCCTCTCCTTTTTATAAGTGTCCCTTTTATTTTGACACGTGTCCATTTTCCTTCCAAATAAGTGCCCTTTTCTATCAGGCACTTCATTACGGTCGGATGAGCAACTAGGGGCCAGCCTTAGGGCCCTTGGTGGGGTCCTATGACTTACAAAAAAATGGAGAAAAAATACTGGAAAATCATATCATAACGGCAACATATGTAAATCACTGGTATCGAATAAGAAATACATCCCTCCCCCCATTACAGTGAAAAAAATACACGGGGGCTCAGGGCGAATTAGCCCCCGAAATGCCCAAAAGAGCCCCTGAAAATAAGAAAAGAGCCCCCATAAATTTGCATAGAGTTCAATGCAAAACAAGTTTAAGAATGTTATATTCATGCGGGCAAACTTGAAAAGTAGCCCCCGAAAAATAAATATTATTTTTTTCCCTGCCCCATTAGTACGCCATCGTTCAGGGGCTCATGTCTTCTCACCCCTATCACAAAAAAATCAAGACACGCTTTCCCATTCTCGCACAATATGTCCACGATACGCGCATATCGCTATTATAAAGACCTCCATTGATAAATACCGTAGGTGGCATGCGCAAAATTTAATTATTGTGAACTTTCCTTTTCTTTGAATGGAATTGTATATGTGATTTAATTCAGGTTATTAATATTGTTATGTTCTTTTGGGTTAAAAATACAAACCATGTTACTCCTTTACTGCTTCTTTGTTTTTTTTTGGAGGGGGGGGGGCGTTTTTGGGGGGCAAAAATGCTTTTTGCCCCCCACTTTTTTGATTGGGGGAGGGGGGGGGGCAACTGCCCCCCCCCCCCCCCCACTTCCGGCGCCTATGCACACACACACTCATCAGTCTGCAAGAATCTTCAACTGTGAAGGAGGCAGACTCCCATGCAGTAGACTCAACTCAAAGAAGAAAACTAGTTGTTGCAAAACTGCAGTCTAATATTAATGACTATATTAAAATAGATATCACTATAATCAAGATCCACTTAGCCAAGTCTATAGCTAGTTTGTTATGGCAATGCCCATATGTATTGGCCCGATATAGGATGGCATCACATTTATTAGATTCAGAAGACTCTTCCTAAATGGTACAAAACTTGGTAGTGGGGCGCGGGGATCAAGCACTTGCTAGACCGACCCGTTTCTCAGCCGGGCTCGCGGCAGTTTACCAGTCGGGCAGTCAGCAAGGTTAGCTAATTAAACACACACTATCACCACAGCCCCACTCGTGAGAATTTTACTTTTTAGTTATAGCACTTTCTCTATAGCGAAACTTACAATAACTTACGTTAATTTCTATTCTTAATGCAGTTCATCAAATTCCAAACTGGCGAGGATGTGGAAAGGGTACAGGACTTTTATCAAATTGCAGGATTCCCGGGCGTCTAGCTAGCTGGAGCGATATATTGCATGCACGCCTGGTGTTGGGTCCTCGACAGGAGAGAGCACTTGTTGGTGAACAGGGGCGGGTTCCTAGAAACCGTCATAAGTCTAACTTCTTGACTATCCTATTGAAACGTGTTTTATAGAATTAACACGCGTTTCAATTGGATAGTCAAGAAGTTAGACTTATGACGGTTTCTAGGAACCCGCCCCAGGACAATTCACACATTCTATAAATGTGCAGGTGCATGTGCGACCCCAATAGGTGATCACTAACGTTAATAGGCCATTTTCGTAATGTAACCAAATTGAATGCATCAGTCTTTGTGAAGTGCCTCAATACAAATTATTTCATTCACCTAATAAGAATAATAGTATTTCAATAGACAGAATCTGAACTGCATACATTGTTTGTTGCCAGTTTCAGGACAAACATAATGGCTTGACCTACGTGTACCAAGCAACACTTATGCAGTTTGCATTCTGACTATTGAAAGTCTTATCAGATGAATGAAATAATTTGTATTGAGGCACTTCACAAAGACTTTATGCATTACATTTGGTTACGTTACGTTACGTTACGTTATAACTTAGAACCAAGGTTCTTGCCTTTTTGTAAATATTTTGTTATATAATTCTTCATCTTTTATTTAGTGTAAAATACCAAAGCTTTGTATATAAGCACAGAACACATTTACCCTAGATGTAGAATAGTTTGTAGCTTAGGTATGAATTCACTAGTTATTCATATTTATTCATTACATTCTCGTTTATTGCTGTGATACTTTTTGTGTGTTAGTGGTACTAGACACGATTAGCATTAAATGCTATTTTCTGGTCCCATTTATCCTTTCAATGTTAATTAATCATTCACATTTGATTGTTATATTGATGTACTTTTTGTTTTGGATAATAAACTTCAAACTCACTCAAACTCACTCAAACTCACTCAAACTCACTCACGTACATTGCCTATTGTTGCGAGGAAGATGCCTCCCCCCCCCCCTCGATCCCCACCAAAACAAATAAATATAATTATATATGGTGTTTTCTCGTACCGCGGCCGGGGGGGGGGGGGCGGGGGGGGGGGGGGGGGGGGAGTCATCAGAGAGAGCACCAGATTATGAGAACCCCAAATTTATGACAATAAAAACAATACACGCTGGTAGGCCTATATATATATGTATTATATTAGCTGGGTGGAAATGGGGGAGGGGGTAATGGGGTGCATGCATTCTCATTTTCTTTGATCCCCCTTTTTTTTAGCAATCTGCCCTAGCCCCCCCCCCCCCCAAAAAAAAAAAAAAAAAAATGTTGAGACTAGTCTCAACACTTTGGGGGAAGCAGGGAAGGATCACTGGCAGTTCCATGATTTTCAAGGCTTTTTTTTGGGGGGGGGGTCGACTTTCATGATAAATGATAATAATTTGTTTATTTCAAATTGTTAAACGTCGAATTTCTTCCAGAGAGGATTGAATGGTAGTTATTTCACCCCTTTTCAGTCGCTGCTGGGCAGCTGGAAGCATTTCATTTGTGGGGAGGGAGGGGGGGGGGGTACCCGACAAAAAAGGGCATTTTGTAGACATTGGTAGGCCTATATATATTGTGATTACATTATCAGGGGTGATTTCAACATTTGTTTCTCTTTATACATCACGTAAGATATTGCTTATGGGTTGCAGTGTGAAAAAAAGTATATATAAAGAGGAAAACCCAATCCTGATAGGATAAGCACATTCTCATAACGGAAGACTGAAAAGACCTTTGATAAGTTACATTATTAAAACATCTATAACTACGAGCGAGCGTAGCGAGCGAGCGAGCTTTACCGTAATTGCTCTTAGTCGCTTGAAATTTAGGGCACGTTTAATGATGGGAGGAAAAGAAGATACTTATCGGAAGGGTTAATACACTTATTAGGAGAAAAAAAAGGAGCACTTGTCCAAGTACAAAGGCTAATTATCAGAGGTGAACTTCTTACACCTAAAAAGAAAAAAGAGGCAAGCACCAGGGATGTACAGGGATTTTATGCGAATGGTATGGGCATTTGTCGACGGAGAAGAGGCACCCATCAGATTTTGATAGCGGCATTTATAAAAAGTGAAAAGGCCATTCATGAAAAAGGGATAGGTTTCTTATTAGAAAGGGAAAAGGGGCACATATCATTGTTAAAATAGTAATTATCAGATGTGAAAAGGGGCAATTATCGCATCTGAAAAGGGGCACTGACCATACATGAAGAGAGGCACTTATGAGAATGGAAAAGGGCACTATTGAAAAAGGGAAACGTGTATTTTTTGTAAGGAAAGGGGCACCGATCGGATTTGAATAGGGGCATTTATCGGAGGTGAAAGGGGGCATTTATGAGAAGGGGGAAGTGGCTCTTATAAAAAGAAAAAGAGGCACATGTTAAAATAAACGGGGCACTTATCAAAGATGAAAAGGAGTAATTATGAGAAGAGGAAGGGGCACTTATAAGAAGGAAAAGGATCATTTATATAAGAAGGGAAAGGGGGACGTGTCAAAAAAAGGGGCATTTATAAGAGATGAAAAGAGCACTTATCCGGAGGGAAGGGGCACTTGTCAAAGTAAAACGAGTATCTCTCAGAATTGAATAGTGTCATTAACACTAAGAGAAGAAAAGGGGCACTTATGAGAATAAAAAGGAACTATTTTCATAGATGAAAAGGGGCATTTATGAGAAGTAAAAGGGGGCTCTTTTTTAATGGGGGCACTTATCATAAGGAAAGGGGCACTTATTAAAAAAGAAAGGGAGCACGTGTGTAAAATTTAAGGTGCGCTTATTCGTGTTCAATAGGGGTATTTATTAAAAGGAAAAGGGGTAGTTATTAAAAGGGAAAGGGGAACTTGTTAATGCGAAAGGAGAACCTCTCGGATTTTAATAGGGCAATTATCAGAGGTGAAGTGGGGCGCTTATCAAAAGTAAAAAGGGCCGCTTCTCGTACCTGAAAAGGGGAACTTACTAGAGATTAAAAAAGGCTCTTGGAAAATGTATACTTATTGCAAAGGAAAATGGGAATTCGTCAAGGGAAAAGTGGTACGTGCCAAAGTAAAAGGGGCACTTTTCCTATGTAAAAAGTGGCACTTCTTACAAAGTTTAAGGGGCACTTTTTTGGTACTTGAAAAAGTGGGGGGGGGGGGCACTGTGCCCCCCACCCTTCCTCATCCCTCTCACTCTCTCTCTCTCTGATTCCCTCCCTCCCTTTCTCTCTCCCCACTCTCTCTCGTTACATCCACACTCTCTCTAATTCTCTCATTTCATTTCATTTATTCAACCAGTACAAAAAACAATTTACAATGAAAATACAATATACAATATACAATATAATGGTTATAATTAGGACCCCTAAGAAGCAGAAATATGCTTGTAATCGGGGCCCTGCAAACAAACAAGATAATGCACATAAATTAACAATACAAAGTAAAGGACTTAAATAATACAAGTCCGCACCCGTACATCAACACACACACACACGTCCATAAAGAAGGTTACAGAGAAAGAATAGAAGGAAGCGAAAAATAGGGCAGAGAGAGATAAAAGTAGAAAAAAGATGGGAAAGAGAAGTACCTACTCCCTTTCTCTCTTTCTCTCATAATTCCCTCCCAACTCTCTGTCTCCCGCTCTCCTTCCTCACCCCTCTCTCTCTCTCTCTCTCTTTCCCCTTCTTTCTCCCCACTTTCTCTCTTGCTCTCGATCTCTCTCTCTCTAACTCATCACTTCAAATGATAAATTCCAAGTACAAAGGCATCTAAATCTATATACTGAGCAAAGATATATTTTTCATAATACTTCTTGTGTAATAAACAATATGAGTATGCAATGAGTACAAAATATAACTGCTGTGTAACTATGAGAAATGCAACAAAATAAAAAATTAAGGCTTGTTCACATAAACCACTGTAAACATCATTTTTGGTGTGTGTGTGTGTGTGTGTGTGTGTGAACTACATGTTAATGTATGGCATGCGGGAATGATAAAGGTAGCTTCATGCAAAAAAAGTCCTATGTGAACTCACTCATCTGTGTGTTAAGATGTACAAATATGAAGCGCAGTACGCATAAGAACGCTTTGAAAAAATCCCAACGGTGAACCATTGCATGTATGAACAAGCCTTAATAAAGTATAAAAGTGTAACTATACTTCATACAACTTTTATACTTGTACATAGTTCATACAATGTAGGTAAAATGAAATGAAAATATAATCTGTGTGTAATTTACTTAGCTATTCAACAAAAGTAATAAAGCAAGGACAGTTTTTGCTTCTCAATATATGCTTACATGCAATTTTCCTTCACCAACCCTCAAGCAGAATCATTCAAAGACTGAATTCTTGATCTAAAACTGAAGTTTGAGTACATATGTAAGGTATAAATATCAAGGTTTAATGAATAAATGATGTTTGATTACACCCTAATTGGTCCAACTCATTACTGATCTCATGCGCCAATGGTTATTTGACCTGAGGCACTAAGCAACAAAGGTCTGTACCACTGCATGGTATTATGCATCAATTGTCCTATTAATATCAATGGTACAATGTATCAATGGTCCATTGCACCAATGGTCTTTCATGTATTTCACCAATGGTGCAATGTACCCAAGGTCAGGTGCGCCATTGGCCCTATACATTAATGGTCTAATGCACCAAAAGTCTGATGCATTAATAGTCTTATACACCGATTGTCTTACATGTATTTCACCAGTGGTACAATGTACCAAAGGTCAGGTGCACCAATAGCCCTATGCATTAACGGTCCTATGCACCCAAAGTCTGATGCATTAATGGTCTTACATATATTTCACCAATGGTACAATGTACCAAAGGTCAGGTGCACCATAGGCCCTATGCATTAATGGTCCTATGCACCATTTGTCCCACTCTAACATATTCACTTTTTGCATCGATAATGAGTCAAAGAGCCAGGGGTTATTGCTAACCCTAAAACGTAACCCTTAACCTCATGGTAATACTTTACATTCTAGCATAGGACCAATATGTACCAATACGATGCCAAAAATGTTTAGCTTTGTTCTGAATAAAATTCAGTATATTCAAAAGAAATATAGAGAAGCTTTTGGAATATGATGAAAAAGTAGAAAACATATTTTGTCTGTTGCAAAGTACTGCGAGTTCACTTCATTGTATTGTGACATAAACAAGGTGATTTTACTAATTCAGTCAAAATGACCCGAGATCTACCTTTAATATAAAAAACTAGGACTAAACACAGCTTTCCAACTTTGAGAACAAGATAACCCTAAATATACAAACAATTTAACCTGTTGACAATTTGCAAAGATGAACACAGACAGAATACTTGAATATGGGAAGAACAAGTTTCTTTAAAGCACAAAAGTCATAGCAAAATGTAGCAAACCTCATTTAAAATCGCCTATAATTTGCCTTTAACATTAACATGCATACCTAAATGGGTTCAGAACAAAAAGGAATCATGGTTATATAATTCTAATTTATCTACGATATACACGACAGATTTACAGCATATATGAACACAAAAAAAGTACTGAGTGACATACACTTGCTATTTGCTAAAGTACAAATACAACAGATATTATATAGAAAATGAATGAATACCGATTCGTACACGTATTTCGAAACATCTTTGACATTCAGCTACCACAAAGAACACTTAATGCTACTAATGATCAATTTTTTTGAAAACTATTTCATGTACATGTAATAGGTGTTTCCATGGGTGTGGTCGTATTGGAATACGACTGGAAGACTTTGTGAATTATCGTCAGATGGTGGGAAAGTGGTGACAAAGGCGATCTGGAATACTTCCCGTTCACCACGTAGACACGGGTATTAAATCCTGGACGCAAATGAGGTTGTATAGAAGATTTGTGCAATAATGGATATACAAGTTGTACACGTTAAGAATTTCAAATGCATGCGATAGCGTAGCTCAAAAATCAAAATACAAGTACATGTATGAAGATACTGAAAATTGCTTAACAAGAACCTGGTGAATAACAAGATAAAGACATTCAGATAATAATTCTGTTGAAAATAAAAATATACTGTATATGTTGTGGTAAATTGTCATTTATAAGAAACATCTTATGCTAATAAAATAGCCATATATGTCTCTATAAAGACTTTTCCTTCAAAAGAGTTGCATTACGTAGAACTGTTCTTAATTATAAATGCTAAGCAAAGTATAAAATATAAAATTGTAACAAACAAAAGCCCTAAAGTACAGTCTAAAGATATTGATATGGTCCTTAAACATATTACAGTGTACATGTGTTGTATTGAAACATTTTAGTTTACATGTTACGCTAGATCCTATGGAACATAAATCTCTTGATTTGAATACATAAAGCACACTTATATGGCGAATGGAAATCTGACTCAAGCCCACCGAACACTATTAGACCCGACTACGATCCGACTACGATCCGATTTTGGAAGAATTTGCAATAGCATTTCATATAAACATTCAAATGATTCAAATGTGAATGATCGAGGATCTAAATAGTCTTATGATTAATGAAATCTAAATTTAATGGATTTCAAACTTCCTTGAAGATGGAAAACCTAAATTGGCTCAGAATCACAATAACATCAGGGACCCGTTTCACAAAGCCTTTTTTTCAATGACAAATGACAAAAATCAGTGACAAATCTGCTGATCACCAATCAGAAACAAGGATTTCAGTAGCTTATAACAAAAACTGTCATTTGTCACTCATGACAAGTTTTGTGAAATGAGCCCAGATGAGTCGTGTGATAGTCTACGATTTGAACCTGATTCGGCTTTTATTCTGACTAGAAACCTTACATGCAATCAAATTCAAAGTGTTAGTATTCTTATGATCTAGAACCTAACTTACGAAGATAATGTTTACCAGTATGTATCTAATACACTGTAGATTTGCCATTTTTTGAAAATCGGATCGCAGGAGATTGTACAATGTGTGGTGGGTTCAAAGTATATATGTACATGTACAGTTGTACATATTTAATTTGGTCCATCAATAATACATCCCCTGCATATGTGTTATACATGTACTTCACAATGATTACGTTTTCATGAGTTTTACAAATTACAGTAAATATTCTTATTATATGTCTCTGACTGCAATTCTTTTATGTTTATACTGGTTCTTTATTGAAGATTGACAATAAAGTGATACAAAATCAAAACATTCCTTGACAAACATGGGATGGCTCATGTATAGGCCTACAGCTACAGTACATGTCATGAATGGCTGACTTTGAAATTAAGTACTCGCAATGGACAATCTGGTTTGCCTTAAGTAACAGTCAGAACCATCATACGGTATTTTTCTCTTGAAGAACCACATATAAAGCACTAATTCCAACCAGATCAAATAGCCGCAATTGATCCAGATCGATTGGAAGTCCTCAAAATTCTTTGCACACTTAAAATAACATATCTCACTACTTACATGAACAGTTGCTTTTTCTTTACCTGGAATATCAAACTCCTTTCAAAGTTGTAATACATCTGAATCGATTGTCAAAGTACTAAATTTGATCTTCAAACAATATAATCATTAAAAATAAAATGACAAGGAAATTCATAACATACATGTAAATCTTATGTCCCTCTTCCCCAAAATATAAGATAATAATATATAATATCCCATGCACCGATACTGCTAAGCTAATAAATTTTACATGAATATTGTATACCACACCATAAATACATTTATCTATACATACATGTACATGTAGGTATTCAATGCTGTGTGATGTTTGCACATGACGCAGTGAATCACTTCACTGAAAAGCCCTTATGGTGAAATAAAACCACTTGGATGCTACTCAATAGCAATGTTGACACATGGTACAAAGAAGTACCAGTAATGATGTAGGCTTAACCATATTTTATTGCAAGCCAAACCTACTAATTTTACACTGCAAACATCTGAAATCTCATGAATACAAATTTGGAATCACTCGAAGCAAAATTTTGAATCTCTTATACAGCACATGCTTGTGCTGTGAGAAAGGAGAAGGAAAAAAGAGTGATAGGAATCTAGGATTATTACGGTATATTACTTTCAAAGGCCAAGTTTTTGGAAGGTAATTTACTGCCTCATGTGCAAGCAACCCAAATTCATTCAATGCATTTGTCTAATAATCAAATGCATTCATATAGCATTTTTCTTAAACATTTTGACATAAAACATGGCAAGATTTCACTTGTTCTTCTGAGTTTCGCATCAAGAACTAAAGCCTTGTCACAAAGATATATATTACATACTGAGAAGCAAAAGGGAGTAATAACTCTGTGTTTTAACTCATAGCAGTTCAAAGATTTCTAAATTCATCAGTTTTTCTCGTCAAATTGGCAACAATTATTCTAATTTTACACTCCTACCTGTACATAGTTTGAAAAAAAGTTTGCATTTTAATATAACCAATGTAAATGTAAATTGTAATATTAAACTGCAAAATTGCCAATTTGTACACAAAAATAGTGATTTAATATTTTACGTGTTGCCAATTTAGTAATTTCGATGATAAGTTACAATTAAATCATTCTTACCGTATTCGTCAACAGCTTAGACTAAACTTTTTCTGTGATTTTTGCTTTTTCTGCTCATGTATAATGTGTAAATCCTAGCATTGTACATCAAAAGATAATGCAAAAACCTCTCTAAAAGGAGATACTGCACTGCTATATGTACAGTATGGGTTGATAGGACAATTTATATTCCATCACAGAATCTTTTGGAGGACAGCAATCCAAGAATAACACCCTTCTGGCTCTCAGCAGTCCCTATGGTCTATAACATATGCAGCTTATTTATACAAAAATTTAAATATAATTCTTGAAATTTAATGCATCTGCTTTAAGTTTACATGGTCATTCGGCAACATGCATTCCATCTACAAACAGATACCATAAATAAGGCTCATTTCTGTGTGGAATGAACATTCTTTTTTCCTGATTAGATAAAAATGATTCCCGACACCAAAAAAATATGGACCCCCCTTATATTGACCCGATTACCGGCCAACTGGAGGAAAGGTCCATTCTGATAATAGGGGTGTCGTCTTAGCAGTAAGGTAAAATAATCACCACTACTATCTAACCAATAGGCTGGAGGCAACCTGCAACAGGTGGATAAATCCATTCTGATAATAGGGGTGTTATCTAGCCAAATGAGCTGGAAGCATCTTGCAACAGGTGGATCAATCCATTCTAACAATAGGCGTGTCATCTAGCCAGATGAGCTGGAAGCATCCTACAAAAAGGTGGGTTGTTCTATTCTGATAATAGGGGTGCCATCTAACCAAATGAGCTGAGGGCAACCTACGACAGACGGATCAATCCATTCTAATAATGGGGGTGTCATCTAGCCAAATGAGCTGGAAGCATCGTACAAAAGGTGGGTTGTTCCATTCTGATAGCAGGGGTGTTTAAAGCCAGTCTGCACTAGTTTGGCCAGGGGGATTAGACCGCCCTGCAAGGTCACTGACAGGTGGTTATCTCATCAAATCAGCTCTCAATGACCATAAGAAAAAGAGGATCATGGAGGACCAACAGGCACCGATTAGGCATTGTTTGCTATATAGAGGGCGCAAGTAGCTATAAGTAGTGCAGAGGGGCTTTAAACGAAGACGCCTTCAGGGTTGTCCGAGCTCGGTGCTTGCTTGAAGAGGTCTCTAGGGCTTTTGAGCATCTTACGCGCAGGATTGTTTCCAGGAGCTGAAAAAGAGAAAGTACGGGGCAAAAGAAATTGATAAGAATGTGCCTTCGATCTAATGTAGACTGGCCTACATCTGCTCCCATAATGCACTAGTGATGAGGTCATTAGCCTGTATGTCTTAGGGTTCTCTTTAAGAACAAGAAATCAAAAAACAGCTTTGAACAAAGTTTTGCATTCATTACAGTTAAACATATGAAAAACATTTGAAAATAATTGGAAGAAAAAAAAAAAAAAAAAAAAATAGGAGATAAGAATTAAAACTTAATAACAAAGTCAAGAACAATTAAGTCTTGGGAGAGATAGTCTGCAATACATTTATATAACATGGCATAAATGAACCATGTATGAATCTTGATAATTAAACTGCCATGACATGACAAGTCATTCAACCCACTGATTGGTACGACGTTTGTGAACTTTTGAAACCCGAATGATGGTGTCATCAAATTTCACCCAAAACTCTTACCCATTATGTATTTTGTGGCATGCACTTTCAATCACAATGCTTGTTATCACTGTTTATCTTGATAGAGAAACTGTCTCATGGAATCTTAGTTAACAACTCATGAATCTATTTATTGTCCAAACAAAAAAGAGGAGACTCTATATATGGTTTTCACACTTATTTTTTGCTTAGCCCTGTACTTTTCTTAGCCCCAGACTTACTTTTTTGACTTTTCACACACGCTGTTTTAGTCCCGTACTAAGAGCCTATCCAGGAGTAAGAAAATTCATGCTGTTCCCGGAATTGCGGTGTAAGCCTTGCTGTTTTGCAGGACCAACTAACCCTGTATTTTAGGTGGGGCTAGCCCACCTTGGTAAATTTGTGTCTGAACAGAAAGTGGGCTAAACTTAGCCAAGACTATAGGAGGGGCTAAGACCCCCCTTTAGCTCGACCTAAAGTTTCGGGCTAAGCAAAATTGTATCAGTGTAAAAAAAGCATTTAAGGGGATTAAACCGACTACAGTATTGGACAGATTAATCTGCCAAAGAATAACAATGGATTATTAACTACAAAAAAAGAAAGAAAGAAAGAAAAGATTATCCTCTTTCTTCCTTCACTGATATAGAAGCTTACTTGGATTTTTGATGAGTTCTCCAAGTTTCTTCTTCTCTCCATCCTTCTCTTGATCCTCTTTCTCCTTCTGAGCCGCCTCCTTTCTCTTCTCTTCTGCTACCTTGTTCTCCTCTTCCTTCCTCTCATCCTCTGCTCTCTTCCGTTCTTCTTCTGCCTTCTTCATTTCTTCTTTCTTTCTTTCTTCCTCCACTCTCCTTTCTTCTTCCAATCTCCTCCTTTCTTCCTTCGCTCTCTTTTTCTGTTGGTCTTCTTTTTTCTTCCTCTCCTCTTCGACTCTCTTATTTTCTTCTTCCGCTCTCTGCCTTTCCTCTTCAACAAATTTCCTTTCTTCTTCTGCTCTCAACCTCTCTTCTTCTTCTCTCTTCCTTTCTTCTTCCTGTCTTTTCCTCTCTTCTTCTTCCTTAATCTCCTTGTCGAGCTTCTTAATCTCCTTTTGCTTCTTCTCTAGGAGTCTCTCCACTTCCTGGATGTCCTCGTTGACTTCTTGGAGACTGTCTGCGTAGCCTTCGAGCTCCTTCTGGAACACCGTCAGTTCAACCTGGACAGCCTGTAAAAAAACCAAAAAAAAACCAACATAATTATGGATTATGGGTAGCTTAAAGCCTACTTATAGCTACTTGCGCCCTCTATATAGAAACAATGCCTAATCGATGACCATTGGTCCCACATGGTTCCCTTTTTCTTATGTTAATTGAGAGCTGATTAGATGAGATAACCACCTGTCAGTTACCACGCAGGGAGGTCTAATCTCTCCTGGCCAAACTAGTGCAGATGGGCTTTAAAGCGTCTAAACAAATTTACAAATATACATTATTACCCTGGTCATTGGACTCACGCTTACACATTCTCCACTCCCTAGGAAGCATTCCAGCCACTCCCCATTTTACAGACGCTCGCAATGCTGACCAAACTGCAATGTACAAAGACTTTCACTATTAGATACAGCTTCAAGACCTACATGTACATGTAGGTGTAGAGAGGCAAATGTGAATGAATGTCTTGCCTAGCGATGTTAGTGCCAAGCTAGGATTCAAACCATCAACCATCGGATTGAGAGTAGAGTGAAAGAACCTCTATACCACGACACCTCCACAAGACGCAGTGACATATACATGGACATGTAGGTCAGTTTGACACAATACCTGTCAATTCCGTAAAACCAGAAAGTTTTGGGAGTCTTGGGACTCGTTAATGCCATTGCCTTTCACAGGAAGAAACTTGTTGTGATTCGAACATACACAGGGCTGCCAACACTCACGCATTTCACTCAATTCTCACGCTCTCACGCTAACAATGAAATTCCTCACGCACTAATCTTAAATAACAAAAAATAATAAAAACAGATAAATTTGAATGAATTATGCCACCAAAATTAAATTTATCGAAGACGAAAGCCTCGATCTCATTTCTCGCGCGCGTGCGTGTGTAAGATCGGCGCCTATATAGCTAGCTAACCTGATGATGTACGTATCCTCGCACCGTACCCATATTCATATGCAGCTAACCGGGTCGGCCTAAGCCTGCCCCGGCCCCGGATATGGATCGGACGAACCAGCAGCGAGTTCGAGTACGTCATTAGTAACTGTTGACAATTCAATTGATCGAGAACAGCGAAGATTTCACGGTTCTGTGCTTTGTTTTTAAAGAGGGCCTAATATTAATTCGTACAGTAGAATAGAATTAGAGGGATTATACAAATATAAAGTGAGTTTTGAGAGTGAAAAATGACTTGTGATTAACAACTTAAAGTTGAACAAAAACTTGCTGTGGCTTTGTCTCAGAGAGTGAGCGTGTGGGGCCCTCAGCACCTCACTCTACACCTAGCCCAGCGGCCCACGTTCGTGGGTGAACAATCATTTCATTTTAATAATTTTCTTTATCTCTCTGTTAGTCTGTATGATTTTCTCTCTCCATAATGCCTTTAGGTATAATGTTAAAATACTCTATAAAGTATGCACCAGATCACACAATTTTACCTTGAAAAATAAAAAAACTCCACACTGTGGGAGGGGCATGGCCCTCGCGTACACAGATAACGCGTGGCGCGTGCGCCACGCGTTCTTTAAAAGAAAAAAAAAATTGTTGAAAAATCATAAAATTCTGGATTTTCTGGTCCTAGAAATCCCCCCAAAACAGAATATTCTGAATTATTCGTAAGGGTTGGCAGGTACGGTATTAAAAATTTATCAAATTACTTGTAATACTTGTAAAAAATAAATTTAAATTTAAATTTAAAAAAAAAAAAAAAAAAAAAAAAAAATCAAATTTTTACTTTTTTTTTTTTTTTTTTTTTTTTTTTTGGGGGGGGGGGGGGGGGGGGGGGGGGGGGGGGTCAAATTTTCCCTCGGGTCGCGCCACGCGTTTTTAATTTCTTGGCGAGAGGCCTGGGGAGGGGGGGGGAAGCGCCCCTGCCACACCCTCCCTCACGCTAACGCTTCTCGTATAATCTCAATCTCAACTGTTTTCCAATGTTGGCAGCTCTGCATACATGTATTCATTGCTGTATCAGATGTGACTGGATCATTTGGCAGCATCGTATAATGCACACAGTCAGTAGCCTGAAATGTATCATTCTAGAACACTGTCAGATCACCTTGCGAGCTTGCACATGAAAAGCAGAGACACATATATCAGTCAGAATTGAACTGCCCGAAATCTGTTAGAGCTCCACAAAGTTCTATGTAATATAAAGCTTGAAAGCCCTTCGAAAACCGTAGTGATAAGTCCCCAAATCAGGTTAGCCTTAAAACTGGCATCCCTGACCAGTCGTAAAATTCAAATGAACTCCATAATGTACTTTTTAAAGCAATAAGCAGTCACTTCAATTTGCACATATTGCAAACAAATTGAGTTATGCAGGTGGTCAAATAAATCATCAAACATCTATTAGCACCAAGGCTAATATTCATCATTGAACTCAATAAACAGGTTTAAACCCCAGCTCATGTGGCTTGAAGCAGGGCATTTTATTATGTGCATTGCCATAATGATAAAGGACATTTCTGGTACCTCACTGCTAAGCTTTTAATTGATCTACAAGTATACATTATACTATGTTTTAACAGGGTTTTCTCTCTTTGTTAACTAATACAAAAGTGAAAAATGGATTGTAACGACCAAACTTGAGCACATGTAGTTTTGTATTAAATATGCAAATAATTTACACTGGGCATTCAATATTAATGGCTTTCTGCTATAACACGCAGTAGAGCAGATCCAGAACGTTGCAGTGCGCTAATGCCCTTTGGCCCTCTGCAAGACAAACTACTGTACGATAAGTGGGTAGAGTTGTTCCACATATTCATAGAGCATAGAATGTGAGTATATCTTCATTACAACAAAATTACAATCAAACATGAACAAACTAAAATGGAAAACAACTCATGACAGTTTCCAGTTTAATATACAGTTAACAAACCATCATACCTGTAAACATGAACTGCTTAAAAGTTGGCACCAACTAATTGTACAGCACTGTAGGTAGGTATCGTAGCACCTTACAAAATACAGCAATCCGAAAAGGAATTCCTTTGTCCAGTGTGCACCATATAAGACTCAGTAACTGGTCAAAAGAAACACCTCTGTCACACTCTCAAAGAGAACCCTTATTTCCTCTTACCTCTCTGCTTCAAGAATTCAAAAGATCTGATTACAAAGGAACTGTCGCAGTGCAATTCGATTAATTTTCTTTTTTAAACCACCCAAATTTTGTTTAATCCCTAAAGAGTTAAATCCCATAAGAACCGCTTTAGAGGTGAAATTTTATACATTGAGCTGTGAATCAAAAACCGAAAAGTGATGTTTTGATTGACATTTTTCTCGAATATTGACCTTAATCTTTCTCTTCTCCTCTTACACTTTCTTTCTTTCTTTCTTTCTTTCTCTCCATCTCCCTGGGCGTCCTTTTTTAAAAAGCATTCTGTGTCTGTCTTCCTCTCTCTCTCTGTTTATCTGTCTCTCTGTCTCTCTCTGTCTGTCTATCTGTGTCTCCCTCTCTCTCTCTATCTCTCTCTCTCTCTCTCTGTCTATCTGTCTCTCTGTCTCTCTCTGTCTGTCTATCTGTGTCTCCCTCTCTCTCTCTATCTCTCTCTCTCTCTCTGTCTTTCCTTCACTCTACTTCTCCATGTTTCTCTATTGGTCTCTGCTTCTCTGTAAGTTTGTTTGTCTCTCTTTCCTCCTGTACTTCTGTGTCTGCCCGTGTCTCTCTCTAAATTTATCCATCTCTTCCTTTCTGCCCTTGTGTCTGTGTTTCCATAAAAATCTCTTCGTGCATTTTCTGTGTCTCTTTCATCCTGTCTTTTCTCCTCTATCTCTGTCTGTCTATCTGTATCTCTCCATAGATCTACATGTATCCATCTCTTTCTCCCTCCCCTTCTCTCTGTGTCTCCATAAACATGTAAGTTTCTGCATCTCTGTAAGGATTTCCGCATCTCTTTCCTCCCATCTTTCCTCTCTCTCTCTCTCTCTCTCTCTCTCTCTTTCCTCTCTCTCTTTCTCTCTCTCTTTCTCTCTCTCTTTCTCTCTCTCTCTCTCTTTCTCTCTCTCTTTCTCTCTCTCTCTCTCTCTTCTCTCTCTCTTTCTCTCTCTCTCTCTTACTATCAGAACCTGTTCCTCTTTGTCTTTCTCTATCTCTCTCAATGTATTCATCTCTCTCATTGTATTCATTCCTTGTCTACAACTGAAGATCTTCATACATTTGTTCTCCCCCTCTCACATTTCATTGTAAAAACTTTCTTGCACTTTCGCCCCTACCAACCAATCACAAGTAACCAATAAAAAGCCAAGCCCTTCCTCAGAGTATTAAAATAAAACTATGATTTATCATTCTTGGCTTTGGTTGTCAAAGCATATAAAATAACAAGATTTGAGGAAAAAAAACAGTAATGAAAATACATACATGCAGAGTAGAGTTACCTGTAAAGTTATTACCAACAAGGGAAAGAGAAACAAAAATCGAGGGAGTTTTATGATGCAAGTTTTATTGCAGGGATTGCTACATGCATTTGAACGTGTACAGGTCAAGCTTTTAGTTAACCCTCACGGCACCGCTTGTACATGTGTATTCGTGTTACCATGGTTACTTTGTCCCTCAATATACACTGAAATGTACGGTAATGTAAATCTAGTCAATGTATTTCAATGTAAAAAAGAAAGAAAAAAAATCAAGAACAAAAGGAAACAAATCAAACAAAGGGAGACTGCCCCCTTTGTTCTTTCATTGTTTCCCTTTCTGTGTCTCTACCTTGCTCTCAGAGAAAGAGACGGAGAGAGACGGAGAGGTAGAAACAGAGACAGAGAGAGGAAAGGGGGAGCAAGAGAGATTGAAGCTTCAAGTCAGATAAGCACATTGCTTGATGATGCTTAAATAAACCATTTAAAATAACAATAACTTAATATACTTTTGAAATTTCACCCTCCAGTGAAATCACACACTTGTGTTTCAGAGCTAAACAGGGTCAAAAGGTCACTTCACCAAAGTTCAGCCGACCTTGAAGGCTTCGGTGCCTGACATATTAATAACAGTTGAATGTCGAATACATGCTATAAAGCTATCAATCTAACAAAACAACACACTTTAATGCACTCTCTTCATCATGTCACCAGGTAATAACAACCTGGGGGCCAGTTTCTCGAAACCGTCATCAGTCTAACTTCTTAGAAATCTTAAAATCTTAAATTAAAACGTGTTTCTATGCGATGTCCACGAACTTAGACCTTTGACGGTTTCGAGAAACTGGCCCATGGAACCAATTTGGTTGCTTTGTTCCACTTCAGGGATAGCAGTGATTTGTATGTGATGTTGAGGCAATAGTTAACCTTCAACAAATCAATTAAGTAACTTAAGATACCTAAGTAACTGGTAAGCACTTTGTTTTAATATCAATGAAATTAACAGCTTTCCAGATTACAAGGAGGTGTGAGTCGGTTTAGCGGTACCTTCAGTGGTACGCTCAGCTTTCTGTCTTCACCTACAAACTAATGTTCCCCAGGGAGTGGAGAATGTGCATAAATTGTGGGCGGGTAAGCCTGAATCCGATGACCGGGTAATAATATATCTTAAGCGTTTAGACACATCGTTGTATCAATGTATTGGGCGCTATATAAAAGCGGAATATTATTATTATTATTAATTCAGATTCTAAACCAATTCACTTTCTTTCAGATGGTGGTGTTAATGGGTTGGTCCCTAGACTTTAAAAAACATATCGTTGATACATGTCTGTAAAACTCTAGTTATACCTCAGTCTCATCGCCAAACCAACTTTAGAACGACCGTTTCTTGGCCATAAAAGTAATTTTCGTTTGATCTGTTGTCGGTCTGATATCGGTTTCGTCGGTTTGATTAAGATATTACACACAATACATGCAAGTGAGCAAGCCAAACTGAGAAGAAGGATGAAACTACTTACATGAAGATCTTGTTTTGCTTGCTCATCTCCCTCTCTTTCGATCCTCTCTTCCTCATTCCGTATCCTTTCATCTATCTCCTCTATCTCCGCTTGTTTGACCTCCGTCTGTTTCTGACATTCGTGTACCTTCGCCTTCAACGTTTTCACCTGCAATAAATAAAAACATTAAAAAAATCATAGAATAGACTATAATGTCCTTTGGCAAGACATTAATCTACATTTGCCACACTCGACCCAGGTCAAGTAAATGTGTACCTGGCTGGAATTAATTCCTTAAAACGGGTAGAGCGCCGTTACGGTAGCCATGCTACAGCCGGAGTAATAATTGCGGAGCGCTAGGAGTGTCAAGTATGACAGATATGAGGGCTATACGAGAACCCAATATTATTATTATTATATAAAACAACGACTATTAAATTCTGGACCTCTACCTGATTCTCCTGTTTCTGACATTTTACTACTTTCTCCTTTAATGTTTTCACCTGCAACAAACACAAATCTGAGCCCTGTTTCATAAAATTTGTTATCAGTTACAAATGCTCAATCTAATCTGTATCATAATATAAAAGAAGATGTCATTAAGGACACTGAAAAAGGACAATGATTTAAAAAAAAAATATGTTTGAAGTCGAATATTGATGACAGGATACAAAATGTAGGTTTCTGCATACAATGGAAAACCCAAATTATGTATTCTTTTATCAATATTTGTCTTCAAACACATATTCGGGGGGATATCTTTGCAGAAGTGTGTCTTAAATGACATCCTCTTTCACATTATGATATAATTTAAGCGAAATTTTGCCATCAAACTTTTGGCGAATTTGGGGCTCCCAACACTTAAAGAGGTGCTTTGAGGTTAGATTTCTTCTTACCTCCTTCATGAGTCTCTCGCACAGCTGCTGCTCGATCTCCAGCTCGTTCTCCCAGAATTCCATCTCCTTGAGAGCGCTCCTGTTCTTCTTGACCGCCTGCTCAAACTCGATGATCTTATCCTCGATCTGGTCAAACTCCGGATCCAGCTCAAACATCTGAAGGGACAGACAGGCCTCCTCGATGTTGGTGAGTTGTGATATCTGCGTCTCAATCCGCTCCTGTTGCACGCTAACAATCTGGTTCAGCTCGTTGATCTTCTCCTTCTCCTTCTGTCGCTTCTGAGAAGAAATTTTTTTTAAAGAAAATCACCCAACATGGTACAGTCAAACCTGCTTTAGTGACCACCTGTCTACAAAGACCACCTGTCTACAACAAGCACATTTTTCGTTTCCCTTGAAAATGGTTTCTCATTGAAACATGTACTCAAGGAACCTGTCTACAAAGACCACTTTTTGTGTTTCCCTTGGGCGGTCACTACAGAGTCTATAAAGTACCTATTCCATAAATGGGTAAAATATAATAAACTGCTACGTATTTGATATTTGACTTTATCATCTATTTACACAATTGGATTATAGTTTGGTTTGAAATAACCTTTAATTTATGTAATATTTCAAATTCGTTTCTTTATTCTATTTACCCAGACAGTGTCTTGTGTCCCAAGATACCGGGTTTGATTTGCATTCATGCTATTTTCTGGTTCCTTTTAAACTTTTATGTTTTTGTATAAAACTGTTTATACCTATTTTAATGTGTTTATTATTTGATAATAAACCTCAAGTTCAGGTCAGTAAGGTTCAGTTCATGTTGTAGGATCCAAGAATTATGTTTTAAGTGGCCTTACCTGATCTTCGTCTTTTTTCCTGGCGACTTCTTTCTGTCTTCTGGCCTCCAAAATTTTGACCTTCTCCATCTCGATGCGCTCCCTTCTTGCCTTCTCCTTCTTCTGCAGCTCCTCCGCCCTTAGAATCTCCAACTCCTTCTGTCTCTCGATCTCCTTCAGTCGCTCTTCCTCCGTTCTCCTGGCGACCTCCGCTAACCTAGCCTTCTCAAGCTCCAAGGCCTTGAGCCTTTCATTCTCTCTCTTCTTTAATTCTTCTTCAAGTCTCTTTTTCTCCTTTTCTATCTCCTCCTGTTTTTGTTGTTCATTCTCGCGCTCCTCCTTCTGCCTTTGTACCACCGTCTGTCTCTCCTTCTCTGCCATCCTGACTTTCTCCCATTCCGCTTCCTGAAGTCTTAACTTTTCTCTTTTAAGTTCTTCATCTTTATGTCTTTGGAGTGCTTTTTGATGCTCAATCTCTTTTTTCCTTAATACCTCTTCTATTTTCCTCTTTTCTCTTGCTATATCTCTCTGCTTCTGTATTTCTATTTGACGTGCAATCTCGTGCTCCGCTATACGCTCCTCTTCCCTTATCTCAGTTTCTCTCCGAACTCTTTCTATCTCTAGCTTTCGCTCCTCTTCCTTCTGCACTTCTCTTTGCCTATCCTCCTCTCTCTGCTTTTCCAATTCCTTCCTCTTTCCTTCTTCCATCTTCTTCTGTTCTTCAAAAGCTTTTGCTTCTCTTTGTAACCTATTCCTCTCAGCCTCCCACTCCTTCTCGCGCTCCAAGGCTGCTATTCTTTCCGCCTCTTTTTTCTTCTCTGCTTCTTTCCTCTTCTCTTCTTCCTTCTGACGTTCCAACTCTTTCCTCTTCGCCTCTTCTTTCAATTGTGCTATCTCCTCCTCCTTAGCCCTCTGTTCTTCTCTTTGCCTCTCTTGCAATCTCTCAAGTTCATTCTTCTTCTCATCCTCCTTCTGTCTATCCTTTTCTCTCATCATCTCCTCCAAATGTCGAATCTTACGTTCCTTTTCTTCCTGCTCTCTCAGGTACTGTTGCCTCTGTTGTTCAAGTTCTCTTTGTTTCTCTGCATCTTTCAAACGTTCAATTTCCCTTATCTTCACCCCCTCCTCCACCCCTCTCACCTTTGCCTCCTCCTTCCACCTCTCTCTCTTCCTTTGTTGTTCCTTCTCGATGGCTAACGCATGCTGCCGTCCTATCTCTCTATTATGGTCCATAAATCTCTCCCTTTCAATCTCCTTCATCTTCTCAACACCTTGATCTCTCTCCATCTCCCTATTCCTCTCCTCCTCCTGCATCCTCCGTTCTTCTTCCTCCTTCCTCAGCTGGGCGTGTCTTTCTAGCTCTAGTCTTTGGAAGGCACCATGCTTCCCGCCCCCACTCGTCGACCCCTGATACGCCGCCACTCTCAAATAGTCATCATCACCGTCAACACTGAAATCAGCCAAGGTCATGAAGCGCTCTTCAGGACTAGACAGGTTGAGGCTCGTCACGGAGGACGGCCTACTGCTGTGCGGCGTCTGACTAAACGGCGTTGTTCCTTTCCGTTGGAGGTAGTAGCGGACGTTCTTGGACATGGGACCCCATTTCTCTAAGGCACGGTAAGGGCTCTCCTGCGGGTGCAGGATACGCTCTGTCTTTGGAGATTTCTCGAAGAGGTTGAAGCGCCCGACCTGACCCGTCGACTGGGCCAGAGCAACGACTACTTCCTGGCAGGTCGTGAATTCGTTGATCCCGCACACCACTCGCGGGAACCCGTCCACCCAGACCTTTAGCTCCACCATGGCTGGTAGAGGGCACTGTCTATTTATGAGGCCATTGTGATGTCATCGGGGAAGATTCATTATGACAAGGAGTGCTCCTTTATGCAGCAGTGGCACCTGGAAGAAAAGAAGATTAAGAACAAAAGTAAATTATGAGAATAAACAATATGTTCCAAGATTCCAAGATCAAAGTAGAACCATAAAGAACGTACCTTTTAAAATAATAGAATCCTGCAGTTCTGGTACATGCAACCTTGTTCAAAGTTTATCAGAAGATATGTTTGCCATTTCCATCTATACTGTTCCAAAATTGTTAACATACACAGCTTGGCAGATTGTACCTACCAAATAATGTTTATGTACATACATGTATAACAACAATAATAACATTTACAGTGATAATTATAATTAAGATAACAGTAATAATTAGTAATAATAGCAATGATGATGATGAAAACAACAACAATAATAATATTAAACAATAACAACAAAATACCATCTTCTTTCTCATCTAAAGAGTGTAATGTTTATTTTCGAAATGTAAATGTAGTACTTTGTAGACAGCATGTTTACATACTGTACATGTCAAAGCTACATTGTACGTATCGAGGAATCGTTGTGAGTATTAAAGGGAACACACCGTGTTAAAATACTCCAAGAAAATGTAGATATAATACAGTGAATTGTAGACAGCACATTGGCATGTATGTCAAAGGTACGTATCCAGGAATCGTTGTGAGTGAAAAGGGGAACACATCATGTTAAAATACCACAACATCAAGTACAGCCACTCATTCACGGACTAGTAAATCCTCTACACATGGACAGTACAGTAACGACCAGACAATCACGTTTTACAGCATGCACGCTATTAGCGATACGCCACGCCCCCGGGCTATTGCGGTGAGAGAATGAGAACAAAACAAAGTTTACTGACAGACATTCCAGTCATTCATTAGCATTCTTAATGGGCGATCCCCTTCAAAGGATCAAAAAGACTACTGTCAACGTAAATACATCTAGCCTAGCTTCAAGCACATATTATCCCCACTTTACTGTATTATTTTTACAACATTACTATTGATTGATTTAATTTCTTTCGCGAATGAAGATTGAGGAAGGTATTACTGGGCCTGTGCAAGCCCACTGGTGACCCACGAGCCCTATGTGGGTTTACACGTGTTACTATTATTATTATTATTATTATTATCATTACTGCTGTTTATGTTACTGTTATATCATCATTATTATCATTATCATTATGATGATGATGATGATTATTATTATTGATATTAGTACTACTGTACATGTCTTATTGCCATTGTTATTATTATAATTTCATCAATCATCGTTACTATTATTATTGTTAATATAATCATCATTATCATTATTATTATTATCAACATTATTATCATCAATATCAATATTAGTAGTAGCATTATCATCAGCATAATCATCACCATTATCCTCCAATTTTAAGGATGAAATTACTGAACAGTAGGCCTACATTGTAATTATTTATATAGGAGACTTTTGTTATTTTTCATTTTGAATCCACATATAACATTCCTGACATAACTACACCTTCAGACTTCTATAATACGACGATTAGAAGAAAACTTCAGTGCAAAATGAACGAAAGGGTCATTTCACTTCACTCGCTTTCCATACTGTTGGATCAGAATGGCAGAAAATATAGATTGGAGACAACACTAAAGATTTCAAACTAGATTAAAAACTTACAATAATCTACTTATGAATGTGCCTTGAGGTGAGTCTAGCATGACACTTTAAAGTCCTCTCAAATCTGATTACCTATTCATCTAGTCCTGGCACTGCTGAGATAGTGAGAATGATAATCTTAGACCTGGTCTATTGTTGATCTGATTCTTGCGGTGGGTTTTGAAAGAAGAACTTTCTATTTATAAAGCCCTCCTTGACAGCTCTCAAACAGAGATTGTAAACACTGCTAATAAATAATGCATGTAATCTTAGATGGATCTCAACTAGGGTCATCTGTTAAACTCCAAAGTATTTGAGTTACAACATCTAATAGATACCGATCCCATTAAGTAGGTCAGAATGACAAAATGACAGATAAATGTACAGTTTAAATCTTCTCAGAACTTTATTAATCAAAGTAAAGACTCAAAGAAGAAGAAGAAGAAGAAGGATGAAGGGGAAGGAGAAGGAGGGGAAGAAAGAAGAAGAAGAAGAAGAAGAAGAAGAAGAAGAAAAAGAAGAAGAAAAAGAAGAAGGAGGGTAAGAAAGAGAAGAAGGAGAAGAAGAAGAAGAAGAAGAAGAAGAAGAAGAAGAAGGGGAAAGAAGAAGAAATAAAAAGAAGAAGAAGAAATAAAAAGAAGAAGAAGAAAAGGAAAGAGAAAGAAGAAGAAGAAGAAGAAGAAAAGAAGAGAAGAAGAAGAAGAAAAAAAGAAAGAGAAGAAGAAGAAAAAGAAAGAGAAGAAGAAAAAGAAAGAGAAGAAGAAGACAAAAAGAGAAGAAGAAGCAGAAAGAAAAAGAAGAAGAAGAAGAAGAAAAAGAAGAAGAAGAAGAAGAAAAAGAAGAAGAGAAGGAAAAAAAAGAAGGATAAGGAGGATAAGAAGAAGAAGAAGAAGAAGAAGAAGGAGAAGAAGAAGCAGCAGTCATTAATATATATGCGAATCTGAAATTGAGAATTTGGTTTAATAGTGCTTGCTACATGTAGTTGTGAATGCTGTAATCAGGGACAACTCTCAAGTTTGTCATGTACACAAATATCAATTATTTCTACTTTCTTTATTATAAGTGCCATCTCCGTTGGGGCACTACTAAAAATAGAAGGCCCTCCTTATAAAAGTTAAAAACATTTTGAAAATTGAAATTTTAGTAATTTTGTGTGTTGGAACAAAGTGGAAAATTGTTCCTCCCCTACATCACAGTGACATAACGAACTGGGCAATGTGAATTACCCATACAAACTTCAAAAACTCATAACTTGATTATTTATTAATTTATTTCTGATATTTAGACAGGGTGACTCATTATCACCAATAATGGTGGGCTTCCATGAGGCCCTGTTTTAATGAGGTACATTATAGTTTAACTCCTTTTGTATGATTTTAGTTCAAGCTTTCAACATTCTGTGACTCTATTTTCTTTTGGCTTTTTTTTTTAGAGTAGTTTGCTACATGCATAAGGGTAGGATTTCCTTTCAAAATTAAAGGGATTGGGTATCTTTGTCTCAGATTCTGAAACAAAATCCTGGATTTAGCTCATGCTGCAATCATAATTATAAACCTTTAGGTCAGTCAGGAATCCCATGATGTTTACAAGCCGATCGACCGTCTGATTATCAAGACATTTATGATTGGAATTTGAAATTTCAAAAACAGTTTCCCCAACGGTTGGTATTAATAGTTGGTATAACATTGTACTATTGGGGAAATGAGTACGTACTACGTACTATGTTAAAGCCAGTCGCTCAAAGAATTTTTACTTTTTTGAGGCATTTCATAATCTTTTGTAGCGCAATTTTTTTCAATATTACACCATATCACAGACGCTGATAACACGTACATGTACATTGTAGGGCTATGCATCTCAGATTTGGCATTGTTTAACAATAACAACGCCTTTAAAGGACTGTCATGAGAACCGAACTTTTGAATTCCTAACCTAAATTTAACCCCAGGTGGGATTGTGCCGCCCACACAAAGGTAATTTAAAGAGATTCAACTGTCAATTATCAAATATATATCTCTATCTGTCATAACACCTGTCTGCGTGACCTTAAACCTGAATGATTTCTAGGTGAACTTTGTCTTTTGCTTCAAATTTGAATTTACACAGTATGGAGAGAGAGAGAGAGAGAGAGAGAGAATGATACACTTCTACGTCGGTACTTGACAGAATCAATCAGTCAGGATACAACATTTGCATACTAAGTTTATGTACACTGTATACTTGATAGGAGGCATGCTTACACTGTAAATGTAAATGTAGCCCTTCCCTATAATACTTTTAGGTTTATGTTTATGTTTTACCACTGATTTGTTTGCATGGCGATAAGAATACAAGTGAAGCTTGTTCACACGAATAAGCAATAAATGGACCTCCATGTCAGTCTTTCAAGATCAAGACGAGTTTGAGTAATGTACAATAAAAAAAAGTTAAATACATTACATGGGAATGAACCTGGATAAAATATATTGTGAAATATTACATCTACATGAACAATATACATGTACAGGTACACAGGGAATAATTTTCCTGGTATCGCATCGCAATTTGCTATGCATTTTTGCATGACTGCTATACAAAATATTGTTTGTGTAGCAGTTTTCTTCCATAGAAATGTACAGAATTTCATTTGAAATATTTATCCATCAGCTGAAATTGCTAATCAAAATATTTGAGGAAAATTATTCCCTGGGTACATGTACACGTATGTCAAGATTTATGTGAATTTTGAGCAACTAAATAGTATTACATGTATGTACTGTAAGTTCCTTCTCTAGAAAGTGTTTGCCGGCAGTTATCACCCGACATGTAAATCTCTTTTGTTCTTCCCTTTAACACCTCAGTTTTACCAAAGAGATACCAGCTTATTCAAATGTAATTCTCTACACACACTTGTTTCAATAAATTATCTGAATAAATTATTTCAGTAAATTATCTCAATAAATTATTTCATTAAATTATCTCAATAAATTATTTCATTAAATTATCTCAATAAATTATTTTAATAACTAATTTCAATAAATGATTTCAATAACTAATTTCAATAGATAATTTCAATTGATAGTTTCAATAAATTATTTCAATAAATTATTTCAATATTGGTAATTTTGCAAAGTCAATGTGTTGCACAAAGTGATCCTACCATCAATAAGTGGTGCCTACAGTATTGTCTGAAGTGTGCAAAATTGCACATGTGGCAAACGATGGCTGTGCAGAGAGGCGAGGAGAGCAACCAAATATTTAATTCAAACTGAATGCTACAGAGTACAGTGTATAACAGACATGTACTTTTATGTAAATCCTCTTTCCTGGTTACCAAATAATTTAAATACCAAGCCTTTGAATATAACTGTTACAGTCTCACAAATATTTGCAAAGCAGCGGGAAAGTCAACACAA